TACTTGTGGCGCTTCCCCGCTTTCCCTGCAGAGATGCTGTGACTGACAGCTTTACCTCTGGTTCACAGGCTGCCTCCAAGTTTTGCTGTGCATTATTTCAGGAGTCAGAATTTTCTCATGGGTCAGACTGAACTAAGAATTTCTTTCTAAATGCCAAGTATGCTTGTTTTAAGCTTGTTTCCTCCAACATAAGCAGCAAAATGTATTTTGATAAAGCAATACAGTATATTGAAACTAGATAGTCTGAACAATCATCCTCTCCCCATACAGGGAATGTAATACTTGCATTTACCTGCTACAGCCAGACTTTGAGTTAGTGATCTGCAACCTGTGTAGAGTAGAAGTTCTGTATGGCATGGAAAGAGAGAAGCACAGAACACATCTTGCAATGCAGAATTTTCCATTTTGTTTTACATTATATTTTCCTTGAAATGTGGATCTTAATGAACATCACATTGGATATGAGGAACTGCAGTAAGATAAGGCTGCTAATTTTAAATTTCTCTATGCTAGGCTAAGATTGAAGTGACAGTTTGTAGTAGTGAGGTGGAATGTTGTTCCATAGCAAATACTTTTGTGCTGGGGATAACTTTAGAAACAATTGGTTTTTCTCTAAGGTGTCACCATCTTTGTCTTGTACGTTAGAACAGTGAAGGGAGGACAAACAGTAACACCAAAAGTAAATTATGGTTATTAAATATGCAGTTTTAAAATAATTTATGGAAAATTATTGTTGCTTTGTTCTCTTTGCAGGTGCAGAATGAGTTTATTTTAGCAACTGAGAGAGACTCGTTTGTGGAACAGGTACGAGAGATTATTGAGAAAGCCGATGAAATGCTCAGTGAGGATGTAAGTGTGGAGCCAGAAGGTGATCAGGGTTTGGAGAGTATGCAGACAAAAGATGACGGCTTCTTTCCAGGGTCGCAGGTATGTAAAGGACAGATTGCTGTAGCTGTTCGTATTCTTCATTTTGGGTGGTCTTGTTTTGTGAGTACAGCTAGCTAGAAACTGCAGCTTTGTTTCATGCCTGAGAAATACCAAAACTTAAAGACAGAGAAAGCATCATATCAGAGTGAGACCCTAAAATTCATTAAGAAAGCTAAACAACACGCTCCTTTTTTTTGTTCTGACATGTTCTAATGCTTCTGAAGCTGCTGAATCTGCCCAGCAGTCCACTGAGCAATCTTAAATAATGCTGAGGCTTCTTGGAGTTGAGGTTATTGTGAGACAAGACACAAAAACCTCCAGCCCTGTGCTGTTCATTAACGACCGAGAGCCTGCGCTCGGGCCCTCTACCCAGTGAGCTACTAAAAGATTGGATGGCTTAGTTAGAACCCACAGGTTTTGACACCCCTTCTTCCCAGCAAGGAGTTTCATTTTTGGAATCTCTGCCTTATTTCGACCCAGAACTAGTTTGAAACATCCATTTATCTGTGGAATGTTTATGGAAATCAGTTGGACTGCCTGTTAAAATGAGTGTTTAGGTCAATTTGTCATATTGAGAGTCATTAAGCTGAGAAGTGCGAAAAGCACCGTAGCTGATGCTTCCCTGGGCAAAATACCACTGGTGTGGTAATGGTGCTCGGGTCCAAGGTACTGCCTACCTTAAATGCCCACATTTCAGTAAGCTAGCATTTTAAGAACTATCTTGTGGGTTTCTGTTTCAGAATAGAACTTTAAATTTTATCTTACTTTACAGAAATTAGAGTTCAAACAGCCAGATCCTACATCTTCCATGCCACAAAGAATAGGTAAGTCTCTTGTGATTTTTTTCAACAGTTACCTTTTCTGTTTCAGCGGATGGGTGCAGCCAAGTTTTTATTTTGTATGATGGAGTGCACATTCCATATTGCAGGTTATGTATTCAGTTACAGCCACGTATGACTAAATGTCTCACTTCTTTCTGTTTAGGGGTTCCTCCTAGCTCCTTTACCCAGGTTGTGCATTCTGCAGGAAGACGGTTTATTGTCAGCCCTGTCCCTGAGAGTCGGTTAAAAGAACAGGGCTTTTTCACATCTCCTGTTCCTGGAGGAAAAGAAGCTTCAGATATGGGTATGTTATCTAAAATCTTAAAATCAGATGGCTAAGGCGTGTTCACAGAAATGTGAAGTTAGTGAACTAAGCTGTTCCTAAACACCTCTTAAACTACTTGGGGAAGTAAGGAACTGTCTGTGCTGGGAAGAAGTGTTCACAGTTTGGGTGATTCTGTGCAGGATTCCCGGGGTGGGGGGAAAATGTTGAGGGGCTGCCTGCAAGACTGAAACCTTAATTCTGTATTTTACTGTAAGCCTGGGTTGTAATTCTTTTATTATGCTGAAGGTGTGATCTTAATCTAGGAATAGGCAATAGTGCTGTAATGAACTTTTCCAGGTGGACTGATATTTTTCTGTTCTTCCAGTTGCTGCATCTCCACTACACGGCCCTGGAATGAATCTCTCCCACTCAGCATCATCGCTGAGCTTGCAGCAAGCTTTCTCTGAGATGGGGCATGCTCAAATGACAGAAGGACCTAGTACAGCTCCCCCTGTGTTCAACCAAACAGTACCACCATTTCCACCTGCACTTTCTACCATGGCGGGCAGTGGTGCACCTGCCGCATCTGTGGCGGCTGCTTCAATATCCGTTCCCTCCAGCACAGGGGTTTCTCTTCCAGGATCTGTTACTTTGCCTTCAGAGAGTGCAGCTGTTGGAGTTGCACCAAGCGCAAGTGTGCCAAGCTCTATCTCTCCACCTCCAGCCTCACAGTCTGGGCAGCAATCGACTGGTGTCCCTTCCAGTGTGAGCGCCCCTGCTTCTTTCTCCTTACCTAGCACATCCCAGCCGGCTCAGCCAGTAACTGGAGACATTCCCCCCAGTATGAGCACACCGTCTTCGTTGGCACTGCCATCTACCCAGGGTCCTGGGGTCACTGGTCTTGGTGGTGTCGCACCAGCTGTGACATCTCAATCTACTCCTCAGATTGTGAGTAGTATGGCAGCACCACAGACATCCGTTGCCCTGTCTGTGGCTCAGAATGTGGCTTTGCCGCTTCCTCAGCTTAGTAGTAGTGGCTCTGTCTCCAATCTGGCAGAAACAACAGTTGTAAGTGCTCTGCAGTCACTGCCTGAGAGTGGGCAGTCTATGGATACATCACAGCTCTGCAATGCAGCTGGCTTATCTCTCCCAGTCTCTGCACCTTTATCGTCCTCAGCAGCAACAAGCATATGTGGTTCGGTCATTCAGCCTGTGATACATCCCTTACTTGTCCCATCAGGAGTTACATCAACACCTGTCCTACCCCAGATTCCAAGTGCAACACCCATGTTACCCCAGGTTCCCTTACCTGGTGTCTTACCGCAGCCGGTTACTAACCTGCCTGCAGTCCAGCAAACTTTGATACACAGCCAGCCTCAGCCAGCTTCGTTACCCAATCAGCCTCATATTCACTGTCTGGAGGCTGATGCAGATGCTCAGTCTAAAGCTCCTGGAATTGATGATATAAAGACTCTGGAAGAAAAGCTACGGTCTCTCTTCAGTGAACACGGTAACGTGGGAGTAGCACATCCATCGGTATCTTTGGAGACATCGTTGGTAATGGAAACTACAGTTATTCCTGGGATACCGACTACTGTTGTTGCACCAACTAAACCCCTGACATCCATAAGCACTTGTATACCTCCGAGCAGCTTGCCTCTTGGACCTACTGGCTTGCCGGTGCTGACGCCGGTTGCCACTCCCGGACAGGTGATCACCCCAGTCAGCTATATTTCGGCATCGAGCAGCATTGCAACAGCAGTGGTGAAACCAGGGACCTCTCCTTCGAAGCCCCCTCTTAGCAGGGTACCGGTAAGAAATGCAAAATTGGTGTGAGTATTGGAGTGTTGTAGAAAACAGCCTTTTTCAGAAAAATACTTATTCAGGCAGAGGTGTCTTCATTTAACATAATATTGAAAGTTCTATGCTCTGGCTGTTTGTGTGTCCCAAGAGGTGTTTTATTTTGTCTGTACTGGAAAAAAAATTCTATATTGTGCCCATAGGAGAGCTCCCTAGTGTTGCTGTTAATATTTCCTACTCCTAAACTACAGAGTGAGGTAACTGTGGCGTGTTCTTTTGTGGTGGTTTGTTGTTGGTTTTTCCAGTAGGATTTGGAAGGCTTGCTTTAATTAGCTTTTGTCTCGTACGTGATCACTAGAATGAGGTGGGGTGGCTGTGCATTTCACAAAGTAGTCAGGTTATCTGGCTGCTTGTCATTAGCCAGCTTCTTGAAGGCAAGGGTGAACCTGACCAAGTTGGTTTTAGAAGTCCTCTGGTGCTTACGTGGGGCCCGGATGCTCTTCCTTCCAAATAACGTTACATTTGTGAAAGCAGGATTTTGAGAAGTTACATATGTGAAATTAGACTAGCTGTTTTATTTTTAATGGCTCCCTGTGTTGGGACAGGGCACACTTCAGTATCTTAAACTCTTGGTAGCCCTTTCCTTTTCAGAGTTACGTGGAAATAGGTTGAAGAAACGTCCAGGTGTTTAACAAATCAAAACCCTTAGTGCTCCTTCTTGTTTCTGTAACGTTCTTTTCCACTCGCCACCGCTTTGCATTGGTCATCTTTAGCCAGCCTTGCTGTTAAACCGCTCAGGCCATTCAGACTGGGCTAATGCTCCTAGCATCTCTGCTCACTAGTAGATTTTTTTCTTGTACTCTTTGTATTCAGACAGAGTGGAAAATGTCTGCCATGGAGGAGCGAATATGTGCCAGGGATGTTGCAAAGGAAATCTAGACACAGAGGCATTCGTTTAGATGGGAATGAAGTTGAGAATTAGAGAGATGAGGAAGTGATAAAAACTGGTATTAGTTCAGGAACAGTAGGAGCAGTTGGAAACCTGCTAACTGCACAGCTGTAATTACAAAGACACGGGCTTAAATGTTTGGGGGTTTTGATGTCAGTTGTTGGAAAACTACCTCCTCTCTGCAATTGTCACTTGGAAATCAATTTGGTTTTTGTAAAGCCTAAGTATAGTTTCACTTTTTGTTGGTTTTGAGCTTTAAGGAGCTTATTGCTCGAGTTTTCTGGATTTTACTGAACTGTGTGTGCATTATTTTCTTTTTTTAAGGCCAGCCTGTTAACAGGCAGTTAAATGTGTTCTGAGTTGTCTTAGGAATTTATTTGCCTCTTATTTATACACTAAATTATTAACTTACCACAGCTTAACAATTTGACGTGCCTCAGAACAGGCACATGTTTGTTCCTAGTCCACATGTTTGTTCCTAGTGCAAAAAACCTGAGGTAGTGCACCTTTGCACAGTTCCGGCTGAAACGTTTTTGGAGGAGAGAGAGATGGTGCCGGAGTGTGTCTCCACTGGGCAGTTATTACTGTGATTTGAAACGTTAGTTAAGCTGTGGTAACATGTCTGCAAGCTAGAACTGGTTCTGCTTGTTGAGGGCTGGAGTTGACTTTGGGCCGATGACACGTGTCATAGGGGAAGCAAGCTGACCAATGCTGTAACTCATGAGGCCACCATGTATTTCTCAAACTTCAAAGTCACGGTCAAGCCTCAAAATTACAGCTGAGAATAAGAATTTCAAGTTGTGTAATGGATCACTTAATTTCTAGAACTTCCCACTTCCCTAACAATGGAAATAACTAACTGGAATGAGCTGTCTGACCGGGTGGGAAGGCTTTGATGCCTCCTTCTAACCTTTCCAGTCTCGCTAACCTCTTCCACATAACCTGGATGACTTCCCCTCCACCCAGTTGCATGGCCTAGTCATCTTCTGTGGGTCATCAACTCCCTTTAGGTTCAAAACAAACAAAAAAAAAAACCAAGATGGATCAAGAGATTGGTGAGAGGGGTCTATAAGTCTGCTTCTCAACAAGTGGAGGCTTCCTCAGGCATGACGGTTCCTGTCCTCAAGTCGTATTGCTTGGAACAGTTTGCCAGAAGCATGCAGCTTCCTGTTGCTAAAGGGCAGTTAACATAGATCTGTTGTAAGGAGGTTGAGTGCTTTCTTGCACCCTGTTACAAGTTAGGCTTCCTGGAAACTTAATTGCTGTTTGGGAGGATTACTGTAGTATTTCTTGCAGACCTGAAAACAATATCCCCAAGACACTTTGCTCCTGGGCATAGCAGCTTGTTTAAACTGGAAATTGTGGCCACTCAAAGACAATCTGGATTAAAAAATTAACAAAAAAACAAACAAACAACCTCCCAGGCGTTGTTGCGCAAAATCCCCAAAGACTCTATGCTAACTCTCCAGGAAGGAAGCCTCTACAGAGGAAAATGTTGAGGCTTCTGTTGTATGACATGATTGACTGTAGCTTGGTATCTGATCCTTCTGTTATTCCGTGTCTGATGGACTCGCGTTTCCTCTTCATTATCCATAGGTGCTACCAGTAGGTTCTGAACTTCCGGCTGGCACTCCATCCAGTGAGCCGCTGCCACCTTTTCCAGGACCTTCACTAACTCAGGTGCTACACGACTCGGCAGATTTTATCTGCTCCTTTTCTTTTCCAAGAGCATGTTCTGATTAAACTCTCCATTGCATGTTATTAATGTCTTTGTTTTTCTTTTCTTTTGACTGAATAAACCCTTTTGTGTGACTGTAGCAGTGGCCAGAGTCACTTCACTGGATATGTAGCTTGCCCTTTGGGATGCTGTACCCAGTGTCTGAAGCGCAGGAACAGTTAATCAGGCTTGGGTTTTTTAGTGTGTTAACCTGAATTTTAGCGGATTTAAAAAAAAAAAGTAACCCAGGTGAGTGTGTGTGTGAAAAGTGAACCTGTTTTCTTGTTGAAAAGGGTATAGTAGCAAAATAATAGCTCTGCAGGGAAGAACTATAAACTGCAATTAAACACTAAGGAAAATGCAAAATTGCTGGCTTCGTGAATTCCCCTTTTTCTTGTTGTTTGTTCTTTTGGGTTTTTTTACCAGTTATTACTACACTGATTTCACTAGGCTTTCAGATTTGCAAAAGGCCTCTGAAGCTGCTGGTCATACACATGAGTTGAAATGTAAGAGTGGTTTCCCTACCTCAGCTTTTCTCCTTGCGTGCAGTAGTTAGCCTGGACGTTCTGTATGTAAGTCGGGCAGGTGTTCAGCTCAAGGCCACGAAGGGTAAATCTGTCTTGGCTTTGCTTGAAAAACAGAAGCACCTTCCCCCCCCAGAATTGAAAGCAGCTGTATTAAGACAAGCCTGTTGTATGGATCTTCTGAAAGCTGTGTAATGGGATGTAATGTGGGAACACAGCCCTCCAGTATGCAAAGAAAAGGTGAAAAAATAACCAACAAAACCCCTGAGATCGTGAGAGTTGTGCTGCTTTCGAAAGAAGCTTGTGAATAAACGCAAAGGTGGCTTTCTGCAGAATTACACTGAAGTACCCTTGGCACAGAATTATCGCCCCAATTTTATATTCAGACCTGTAAAGAAGATAGCATTCAAGGGGGTACCTAGTGTTGCCTGCTTAAGGTTCAGAGTGATTTTTGTCTTACACCTAGTTTCCTGTGTGCTTATTAAGGTATTAACCTCTTCCACCTGTAGCTTAAGTCCACAGTGAATAGCCTTAGAGCACATGTCTAAAAGCTATGCTTGAATTGGAGGCTGTCCTTTTATGGAAAGGAATTTTTCACTTAAGCCTCACCTATAATTTTCAAGTAATTCCAGTAAAATAGCTGCAATAAGAAAACTTGTATGACACATTAGCATTATGGTCCAATTTCTTAGTTTTCTTGACTGGAACATTTTAATGCGGACAGAGCTAACCTTGATCAAGTTCTCCATAACACACTGTTAATGTTTCCCCTCTCCTCTCTTCCAGTGGAGCTCTTGAGTTCAAGTTTCACCAGTGCAAGGGAACTTAAAATAAACTTTAAAGGTCACTTTAGTTCTGTGCAAGCTCTTCCTTTATTGGGGTTTACAATAGCTTGAGGAGAACTTCTATCTGAAATTATTTAAGCTGACTGACATACAAAGGAACAGTGTACATAGAACCACAGACCGGTTTGGGT